CAGCTCATCATTTTACATATGAACTGAACTGGGTGACAGCAAGTAAAGGTGATAAATGTGCAGCTGGTGCTCCAGGACTGAAAAACACTGTATAGAAACATGTTTTATATTCTTTAGAATTATGGAATAATTCATCAGAGTAAGATTTACTCTCATTTTGCAATATAACACTATTATATAGCGGTGGAGTGTTCAGTTCCTGTCTTAGCCCCTACTAGTGGACAAATTCCACCCTTAGCCCCCCTCTGGTGTACAGATGCAAGCAGAGCCTTTAGCTCCAGCCCAAGCTTGTTTTGTCCTGTTCTGTCCAGTTTGCCTCTGTCTTCACCTTCAGTCCAGAGGTTTGCTTGTATCAAGCCTAATATATTTTATTGCTGGAGGGATGTTGTGTTCATGGATTGTAAGAGATTGTTTCTTTTTCTAGTTTGCTTGTAGTTTTATTCAATTATGTGTTGTTGCTGTATAAAAAGCTATATTTGAATTAAAAAGCTATTTACTGTCAGTCAATAAAACATTCAAAGTTTGTATTGATTAACTTTTCCAGTTAAAATTAATTGTATTACTGTATGTGTAATTATAATCAGATATTTTCTGAATTTGATTTAACGTTAATTGTACTTTCTTAAATTAAAACGCAATGCATTGCAAAGTGCAATTCTGTGTTCTCTATTTAACATTATTTCAGATCAGGATTTTAAAGGCCTTGGTGATAGCCTAACATACAGGTATAATCTATAGATTAGATTATGACATATTGAAACAATGTGTTTTTTTCAGTGCATGTTTAATTTGATTTATTACAGGGTTAGATTTAATAGTTTTGATAAACCAATGGAAACATAATGGTTGACTCCACATCTATGGACCTTAGTCAGGGTATAGCCATAATTTTTGATGGGAATGAAATTGAGACTGTGAGGGATAGAACAGAAGTATGCGTTCAATGGATTGTAGGCCTACTGTTGTTTAACATATTGATTGTTCAGATGATTGAATGTCTTTCTGAGGAAAATTACAAGACAAAAACGAACCTGACTAAGTTATATATCTGTTCATTTTGTTTTGTTTTACAGTTTAGCTGTGCTTTTGGAGAAGACCAACATTATACCACTAGATGTCGCTATTGTACTTTGTCATATGGAGCGCATGGGAGAAAATGTCAATACTGTAATTTATAAGACACTTTTTCCCTCGGTGTGTGGTGACTGGTGAGAAGATTCGTTTAGCCATATGTCTTTGTATTTTCCCATTTATTATCTACATTTAAGTGTAATTTATATCCTTAAACATTATGAGTTTTCAAGAAACATCAGATAAGAGTTAGAGTATAGCATCTAAGAGGCACTGACAGCAGGAGGCACGGAACCAGTTGGTCCTATTTTGCCAATAAAGCGTTAACATCAGCCGTCTTCTCTCCCCTCCCACAACCTATTTAAACAAACATCTGCCCTTATCTTGAGTCTTTAGGAAGCCCGTTGCACACAGTCGCGAATAACTGGCATATCAGCTGAAGAGACGTGATGGCTTTGGCAGATCCCGAGTGCGGAATATCAAACGGCGCGGATTCTGCGTCTCCGTTTTCTGACATTATTGAACTAAATGTGGGAGGACAAGTGTATGTGACACGGCACACGACTTTAATAGCCGTACCGGATTCTCTTCTGTGGAACATGTTTAGTAAGAAAACACCGACAGAGCTGGCACGGGACAGCAAAGGTCGCTTCTTTCTGGACAGGGACGGCTTTCTTTTCCGCTACATTTTAGACTACCTGCGGGATTTAAATCTGGTTTTGCCTGACTATTTTCCAGAGAAGAGCAGATTACAGCGGGAGGCTGAGTTTTTTCAGCTGCGGGACCTGTCCAAGCTCTTGAGTCCCAAAATGAGTAAAGACAACTCCATCACCGATGAGATCTGCCAGAGTGACTCGGAGGAACCGAGCGTGCCTCCGCTGGTGGGACTCGACGCCTCGCGCACAATGTCCGTCGCCAGCACCGCTCACTCTCCCTCCCTCGAGTCCAAAAAGTCGGGCTACATTACAGTCGGTTACCGGGGCTCATACACAATCGGAAGAGACATACAGACAGACGCCAAATTCAGGCGAGTCGCGAGGATCACGGTGTGCGGGAAGACCTCTCTGGCTAAAGAGGTTTTCGGAGACACTTTGAACGAGAGCAGAGACCCGGACCGCCCTCCGGAGAGGTACACATCGCGCTATTATCTGAAGTATAATTTTCTCGAGCAAGCGTTTGACAAACTGTCAGAGTTTGGCTTCCATATGGTCGCGTGC